TACATACGCACATACATACATACATACATACATACATACATACATACATACATACATACATACATATATATATATATATATATATATATATATACATATATATATACACATATATATACATATACATATAATAAACATATACATACATCCTGATCTGACAGAAGTTATTTAGCCTTTCTCAAACAAAGCTGAATGTTTGACTAACAAACAAAGACAAATGATATACGTAATTATAATGCGCCTTTGGAAAAATATATTTCTTCAGAATGTAATACTTCTATGCAACAAATTCCATTCACTCACCAAACTGTCTACTTATACCATAAACCTCTACATAAATATGTTCATAATTACAGTACAAAATATTTCAAAAATTATTTCCTTTAATATCACTGTACACGACATCACACCTTTCCTAACCGTTAAAGTGAACTAACAAAAAAGGTCTATGATGATGCATACAACTACTATAACTTTAAACTTTTTTCTTTATGGCCAATACACATAACCACACTCAACCTCCACCCACCGACAGCACTTAAACATTGCCAGGTATTGGCAAGTGTGGCTATTGCATCATTGATGCTCTCGTTAAAATTATATTACAGTACACTACACCACAAAAATATATTCTTTGTTATTAACAATTAGCTTAGATAAATAAACAAAAAGCTTATAGTACAGTACCTCACCGATTTTAGTCTCATCTGGGCTGATTCTGTTTTTTATTGATTTTTTTACCTCATTTCGCTTCAGGCATGCGAGAAGCTGCTGGGGATGGTTGGGGTGGGGAAACAGCTACATTAAAACTCATTGAATTTATTTCATTCAACTTTATTTAACAAAGGTGACCCTAACAGGATGTTAACTTAATAAAGGGCCTCTACAAAATACACTAGAAGCATGCTGTATGTTATCACCTGCAGTGGCTGTAGGGTAAATTGCAAGGTATGCTAGGCATTGACATATCTAGGGTGTGCGAGGGCCGGCCCCACCCCAGAAAAAAATACCCAGTCGTGCTCAATCAAGTCAAATCACCTTATTTTGCGAGTTAGCCTTTACCTTCCCACCCCCATCAGCTCCCTTCTTTATTAAGACCCATACACCAATGATGCTAGGGCCTGCTACTGTAGTAGTAAATGTTTTTAAAGCCTACTACTAGGCCTATACAGCAGTGGAGGTCCCGATTTATGAGAAGTAGAGCATATGCACATACTCTTGGAAGGGAAGCACCGTTTCCATTCCAGTGTTAAATTGACTATTCTGACACCACCACACGGTTGTCACAATAGCAAGTGTTATATAGGGTATGATTTGACTTCCATTGACTCACTGAATACGTGAATGGCTGATATTTAAAACCAAGCATGCGGAAATTCTAAACAGCTGAGAGTATGATGCATTAGGCCGACTGTGACTTATCCTAGATACCAAAGTAGGCCAAACAATGAACTGTAGCAATCTACTCGAAAAATTAAGGTTTACATGCAGAAGATTGTGGTTAAGAAATGCTAAATAAAACGGAGAAACTGTACTATATATTTTTTTAATTTGTTTTAGCCAGAGTATGCACTGCATACTTAGCTTGCCACTGATCACCTGGCAGGTTTTGTAGTTAATTCAAAAAAATGGTACATAGAATAAGGCATTTTTTAATCATGTTCAATCTGTCTGTGAGTGTGTCTCATTTGTTAGATGCCTCTTTGTTGTTTCATGTGAGTCCATGCACTGTTATCAGGAATTATTATGTTATTATTATTTTTATTATGTTTTTCCAATTTTAGGAGTCTGTTTATTCACATTCGCACATTAGAGTAAAGTACTACCAGATATATTCACTTGCAGCATAACCAAGTACTGTAGTATGGAGTAAAGTACAGTACCTGTATATAGAAAAATATAATGCTCATAGAGGTTTAGTGTAATACTGTACAGTAGTTGCAATTCTGCTTCTTAACCTTGAGGTCGGAGTATGATCCCTTACTGTATTTTGCATTTCACTTGTATCCCAGTTGAAACGCTTTTCTGTACCTAGAGCTGTTTCTCTCCTCCCATGTGTACAAGTGGGAATTTGGACAGTTCAAATACTATGCGCTGATTACTTATGGCAACATTTAATTCTCCCCAGGGAGCTGAGTGTGTGTTTCATTATGTGCTTGATTGAACTTAATTATTATTATAATTAAATGATTCGCAGATATTCAAAATTTTAACTTTGTATTTATTCAAAAATCTACTAATTTTTAAAATTCTTATTCAAAATATTTTTTTTTCCAGGTCATCATTAACAATGGGTTGCTGCAGCAGCTGCAGACATCGCTCCAAACTCCAGGAGTCTGAAAACCCTATGAACTCTTCACTACAACCCATTCCAGAAGAAAATGCATTCCTGCCACTGGAAGCAATGACCAGCACACCAGGTCTGTGGAGAGACACCAGAGATGGCTACATCACAGGTTCAAATCTATCAATATCTAAGAAAACGAATTCTAATTTATCTATTGCATTGAAACGGATGTCTGGGGCAAGTTTCTATCGTCTGGCCAAAGGAGGAAGTGACTACAATTTGACAGATGATGAGGGCAGTGTTTGGACACTTGCATCATCTACCATGGAAAATCCAGAGGTTGATGATCCAGATTATGCTGCTGAAGTTCTTGCCAGTTTACATCTCGGTCTAATGAATGGTCTCTATACTGATTTCACCATTTCCACTCGGAATCAACAGTTTCACTGTCACAAAGCCATTTTAGCTGCTGCCAGCCGATTTTTTTCACTATTGTTTTATGAGAAGAGAAAAGAAAATGGTAAAACAGAGATTGTAGCTTGTAAGCCAATAGACTTCATAGATCTTTCAAACATTGCCCCTCCAATCATGCTCACTATTATTGAGTATATTTACACTGCTAAGTTGATAATAAGTTTAGAAACTGTGCACGGCCTGCTTGTTGCAGCCCAACAATTTCAATTGAACTCTGCTGAAGAAGCTTGCCGCGAATTCATTGATAAACTTGATATTTCGAGTCGTCTAAATGCTGAAGAAATGGTCACAAGGATCCAGCCAGAATACACTTTTAAGCAACCCTTTCATGTCAATGAAATTTTACTTGGACTAAATGATCAAAGGATAGATAAGAAGTTTACCGATATCACAATTTGTGTTGAAGATCAAGATTTTGCATGTCATCGTATTGTACTGGCTACTATTCATCCATCTCTAGAAGAAAAGATGAAGGGTGTGAATACTAACAATCAGTTAGTTTTCAAAGGTGTTTCTCCTTCTGTTTTGAAGACTCTTTTAACATACACTTACACATCCAAATTGGAAATTAACAGTGACAATGCAATCGACATGTTGCGTTTGTCATGTCGTTTGCGACACACAACGGCTATTCGAAAATGCAGTGACTTCCTGAAGTCTTCTATCAATTGTGCAAATTGCTTGTCCATTCAAGAAGCTGCTAGTAGTGAGCATTGTGAATACTTGAACAGAATGGCATTGAAATTTGCTTTGCGGAATTTCAAAGAGGTGATCAAGCAGAAAGCATTTGTCGACATGCCTGTCAAACAGTTGGTCCGTTACCTTGGTGATAACAGCTTGAATGTACATGCTGAGCAGGAGGTATTCGATGCTTTGTCAATTTGGGTGAACCACAATATGGAAAGTAGAAGCAAGCACATTAGTGAAATCCTCATTTGTGTGCGCCTCCTTTATGTAAACCCAATATACTTAAAGCAGACCATCTTACAGAGTGAACTGATAGTAAATAATGTAGAATGTGAAAAGGTGGTTAGCAAAGCAGTTGATATACATCAGCAGATTAGAGAAGGCAGAACTAGTACAGACATGAGGAAAAACCCAAGGAGGTCATATGGAGAAGTCACTGTTGTTGTTGGAGGAAGAAACAAAAATGGTGAGTGGATGAATGATGTCTGGTTCTATGATCATGTAAAACGAAAGTGGATCGCAATGTCTCCACTACCAAGTGGAAATGAAGAATACAAAGTGATTTCACATTGTAATGATATTTATGCTATTGGTGGAAGAAACAAGTCTGGAAATGTTGTCTCTGAGGTGTGGCGTTATGACTCCCTCTTTGATGAATGGACACAAACAGAAGACCTTTTAGCGCCAAGGATCAGTCATGGAGTTGGCATTCTTTTTGACAAGATTTTTGTGGTTGGAGGGCGTGATGGATACAGTGGAGAAAGTACCAGTGAAGTGGAGAAGTTCAGCCGGAGCAACAATGAATGGAAGAATGGTGAACCTATGACATACGGTGTCATGAATCCAGTCGTGGTTTCTCATAGTCGCAGGCTTTACATAATTGGTGGCAGACATGAAGACAGTAATATCCTATTTCAGTGCTTCCACCATGATAAGAACACTTGGACAGTAATGTCACATACTGGTCTGTTGTACGAGCCACGAATTGCAGCCACAATCAAAAATAAAATCTACCTTGTTGGTGGTAAACAAGAGTACAGCGTACAGATTTATGATCCAAACAAAGACAAGTTAACAGCAGCTGGTGAGATGCCTCATGCAGAAGCTCATGCCAGAGAACTCTATTCTGGTACAACAACCAACAAGAAGTTGATTGTCACTGGAGGGCATTGGGCAATTGGAACAGCTGATGATGCATTGATCATCGTAACCAACAGTGTAGAGCAGTATGACCCAGTCACTAATGATTGGACTGTGTTAGGCCCAATGCCAAGGGCACTGTCCCAACATGCTTGTGTTGCCATCAAGAGGTTCATTGGTTTACCAATGCCAACTTCATGGTCTTCTAAATCACCGTTTCATGCACCAACCAGTTAGCTCCACTATTTGTTTCACTATTCTTTTGTTAAATCAAATTTGACTTTTTTTTAATGAACATATTTTTTCCTTCATATTTTCTTACACAAAATACTGTAGAATGATAAATTTAAATGATGTCTTTCATATATCATAATATATAAGTAAAACAGTGACCAATATGTATGATTTTTTTTCAGGTACTGTAGTTTATTTTTTGTATTCAAAATTATGGATTAACAGTAAAGTTTTTCAGTATTGTTTTTGCCAATTCCACCAAATTTTTACTCCCTCCACATCCACGTTCACCTTGTTAATTTTGTTTTGTTCCATTGGTTTTATTACAGTAGTATTTACGTATACATTTAAATGATTGTAAAACATACATACAGTTTCTCTTGAGCAAGATTGCATTTAAAATTATTTGATATGTTCATTAATGTTCATGCTAAATTTCTGATATGATGATAGTGTTTGATGGAATCTACTTGATGATGTATTATTTATGAAAGTAGAGAATTATGAAAACCTAATATATGCTAAATAATCAGAGTTTGTTCCAGTGTCTAAAATGCCTTTTCACTTGGATGCATTCTGTGTTGTGGTAATGAGCCTATGTATACAGTGTATATACAGTACTGTATTGTATTTGGTGGATAAAGGTGTGTGTGCGTGTGTAATGAATAAAAATACATTTTGTTGTGCTGCATTGCCCTACCAACCAAGCTTTAATGCATAATATTATAACTGAATATTAATCAGTGAAGTGCTTGTAAATTGTGATGTGGTACCTACAGTACCTGTAACAGACAGCCCCTGTGGTGGACGAGAGTTGCTGGTACCGGGTTACCGGCACAGACACGAAGGGACCCTTAGTGGTGAAGAAAGTCTTTGATCGTGTTCCTAGTCCACATATCAAGCGCCCTGAGCATCTTATGTTAGATGGATATGTGCGCTATATAAAACTACATTATTATTATCATTGTTACCTCCATGTTTATAGATATTTTCCAAACTGAATGGCATTATTAACATGGCTGATAAATAACAGTCACAGAGGAGTGATTGTTATCTCTCTATACCCAGTTGGTGTGAACAAATTCATCATCATCATATGCTGTCATATTCATTGTGTGCTTTTTGCATAATTTTTCATTGGACTTTTTCATTTTGAAATATTCTTATTTTTTGTGCAATTATTCAGCTAATATTTAAAAAATATGCCGTCCACCATGTTTTTATATTAAACAGTAAATGAAATGCTGTTAAAATGTTGATTACTATAAAATTAAAGAACCTGTATAACAGTAGCTGAGACTCAGAGAGGAGAAACTCTGTTTATTTTCCTAACTATGAATAAAAGTAGTAAAACAATAAATGTGACGTAAATGTTCCTGAAATGTTAAGGCCAAATGGCTTACAATGAGTAAGTTCTATGTCACGTATAACTATAAGGTGACACTGCCTCGTTACTGAGCCTCTACCTAACAATCAGTTGATACTGCATATTTTTTTAGTCCTGTATATTTAGTTTTCAACAGTTTACAATACAAAATTATAGATCAGCATTGTATTGTAGAGTTAAGTTGGAAAGTTACCAGTTAAAAAAACAGTATAAATACTAGTTTATCTGTCTTGAGTTGCTTATTGATATGGACTGCTTGAGTAAGCTCAGTAATGAAGGGGTTTCACATGGTGTTGTGACATAGTACTCTATAACTTTAAGCAACTTCAGTTAGATTACATTTGTTAAAGTTTGCTTTTAAGGACTTTTTCATTCACTTTGATGTAATTACTATAATTCTATTATTAAGTGTTCTTTGTTTAGTTTTTGTTAATTGAATTATAAATTTAATATTAAATAATAGTACTTTTCTTCGTTAGTTATAAATTATATTAATTAATTTTATATTAAACTGAAAGACTACTGACTTCCATAAAAATATAGGAACCAAAGGTTTTCTTGATATTTTTATACGATTTTTGCTTAAAGAAGAGAGGTTGTTTTTCTGTTAGGATAAGAGGCTATCTGCCATTGTGCACGTTATAAATTAACTCATTAGAGAATTTCCTGTAATTCTCCAGCTTATAATTAAAATGGTTTGTTCTTAGTTTAAATTCTGTAAGAAATTATGGGAGGGTAATTACAGATGACTAGAAATGATTTTGTGAATTTACAGTGCTTGCTCTAAATTATTGATATTTATGCATGTACAGTAATTTGTATTCGTGATACAATACTTTTGATGTGCTAATTAATACTATTTAAAAAGTTGCTATGTGATTGTATTTATCTACAAAGTATTTAAATAAGCTTGAACTCTGGATCAGTAGCAGTATTGTATGTTCAGAATCTTGCATTCATGTTCTGCAGTTTCCCAACATACTGTAAGAATGATGTTTATTCATTCCCACACAAATTTATGCATGTTTTAATGTGACTGTCATCCATTTTTCACTAATAATGAATCTAAATACTTAATTATGGTACAATGTGAGAAATAAAATTTAATATCAGTGATAATGTATTACCAATATTGCATGTATTTTTTAGACATGGAGTTCAATGATATTTAAAGCCCAGATAGCACATTGATGTTCTACCCTTTGACTGTAAGTTTAATACAAATACAATATATGAAAAATGTAATATATAATAATGTACAGGTGTGATTAAAAATAATAATAATGCAGTTTTCCTGTAGGTGGTGCAACTACTCCAATACATTATTGTTGTCAAATTTATGTAAATTGTTGCAGTATGTTTCAACAAAAGGTTATCAACTTCTATCTATGGTGTTTCGGAAAAATCCTTAATTATATATATATATATATATATATGAATAATAGTGATGCTCAAAATTTTACAAACTTTGAAAAATGCATTATAGAGTAAGAGAATTAAACCATATATATTGTACAAATGTTTGATGTGAGCAGCTACCACTTTTCACCAAAATTGGTATTCAATAAATTAATGTGGATTAATCTTAATATGATTGTTGAAGTACTTTACTTGGTTGTACATTATTATTATTATTATTAATTTTTTTTTATCGTTATTACCAAGGGCGTCGATCCGTGGTTGAAAGTGGGTGGACGAAATGAAAAATAAAGCCTTGGGCCGTAGGTCCAAGCCTTGGTTGGGGACCAGGGAGCGAAGCCCCCGGAATTTTTAAGTCCTTTTGCATGTACAGTACTTTTAAAATCAGTCAAGAGGTTTTTGCTTTTCTCCTCTATTGGAATTTCACTTTTGTGTAAGTAATATTGCGACTACACTATTGTGAGTGGAAGTAATACCGTCTAATTTACAATCAAACAGGACTAGGGAGATAGGGAGCACACAAAATATTAGCATTTTGATTTCACAAACAAAAAGGTGATTTACTTAATTTAGTATTATCAGTGGTGGCTCCAGGAAAGCAAAATAGAGGGGGACAGGGAGGGACTTGCACAATTTTGGAAAGTAGATCACCTCAGCCCAACCATGGTTGGGGCTGAGGAAAGATAAAATCGATCTAGTGGTTTCTGAGATGGTTACGAAATGTATAAAAAATTGCGTTTTTACTCCGTTTTGGTCCAGAAAATATGTACCGCACTTGAAAAAGTGAACAGAAAAAATTCATGAGTCATGCGTAATTGTTATTCTTTCCGTTCGCTTTTAAAAGTGGGGTTTTAATTATAGAAGATTGGTAATCAATATGATTCCCCTCCCCCTTACTGTGAAAAATGGGGGGGGGGGATGTGTCCCACCGATCGACGCCCATGGTTATTATTATCTCCATCAGGGGATATATGTTTTCAGTTGTGCAAGTTTGCGTGTGGGTAACGTTTTGGTATTTTCGTGTGTTTTTGTTTTTTGTTTTTGGGCAACATAGCTCAAAAACGGCTGCACAGACATAATTGAAAAAAGCAGGGAGTGTTAGGTATAACCAAATGAAGATATGATTAAATTTTGGGGACGGTCCGAAGGTGCCCCTACCCATATTGTCCTCGATCTAAATATCACCGTTTACCCAAATGGGCTTTTGTCAGTGTGTCACGCTCGGGCACTGACGGAGGTGGGGGCGGAGTGCCAGGGCACCGCAGCCCCAACCATGGTGGGGCTGAGGTGGTATAGATCTGTGAATGTCCCTCCCAGTCCCATTCCCTCTGTATTTCAAATACCTTCATCTGTATTATATAATTTATTTGAGTCGTTCTAGAATCTAGAATACGACAAATATTAGAAAAACAAGCATATCTAAAACTCCAAAATCGAATAGGCGATCGGATCAAAAAAGGGCCCCAGGGGCCCCCGGGCCTATCGTTACGCCACTAATTATGGTATACCGGTAGGCCTACTTCCAGATGGCCGGAAATGGCATAGGCCTAGTATTAGACTTTGAGTTGAATTTTCTTTTTTATAATTTGGAAAAATTAAGGTTGGCCCCAGGCCAGCTGCCCACTCCCCCCACCCACCCTTGAATCCGCCGCTGGTGAAGCTTTTCCATACAATCGCTACACGCTAAAACACTGTGCGATTGTATGGAAACCATGCTTAATGCTGATTGGTGACAGGGAATCTATATCTCTCTTTATTGCAAACACATGATTCAACACAGTATGAATTTCAATGGGAGCCAAGAAATAGATTGCTCTAATCAAACTTGGTCCCCTGTCTTAACTACGGTACATAAATTCATCCACACCCCTGAACTTAATCAATACAGTTCAATAAATAATCTTTTCAGTTTTTAAACAAAGACATTTCTTGAAGTGATCCATACACAATAGGTAAAAAATTCCATAATTTTCCACCGGAAAAGTAATAAATTCTCAAACGGCCTAAATTAGTTCGACATCTTGGTATGGATAAATTAAAATCATCATTAAATCATGTTCTATAAGTATGTCTAATGTTCTCAAAATAATCGGATATACTATGCGGTAATCTTTAAATCGTATATTATAAAGTCAAAACAAATAATTTATAGAGCTTAAATATATCCAAAATCTTACCGTTGCGTCAGTTTCACTGAAAACACTGTAGCGATTTTAAGGAAACCAGGCTTTAGAAAGTTGCAGGATCACACAAGATTAGTTAATCATCTCGCCTGTCAAAGTTGATAATAAACCCACTTTTCATTATTATAACAGGCGCGCCCGTCGTATACGTGTAGACAGAATTTTCGATGGAGTGGTGCGTTTTTGAGTGAAGTGGAGGACCAAGCTCCCTACGATGTTTATGGGCTCCCCCGGAAGCTCTGACAAATTATATGAAGGCCTTATAATAATATAATAATTGAAACCCATAATTCATAATATTCTACTTAAATTATCATTCATCTTGGTGTGTTTGTTGTTAGGGACCACAGCGTGGCGAGTCCAGGAATTCGAAATAGAATGGCGGGGGCCGGAGGGAGACTTTCACAGACGGAATTTGTATGATTATGGCTCTAGATGACCGGAAATGGAACTCAGACTTAAATATAATTATAATTTTTCTTTTTTTTCTCCATATATTTTGTAATTTTGAAAATATAAATCTTTAAAATTAAGTTAACATACAATAGGAGGGCTTAATTTTAATTACAATATTTTTAAACTTAGGCCTAAATCAAGTCCATTAAAAAGGTTTTTGTGTTTGAAATTTTTATTTTGCCACCGTCTATTGTTTTATTAACGTTTTTGTGTGTAACATGTTTGTGCCGGGAGGGGCTTTCACAGACGGAAAATTGATGATTATGGCACCTCTACATGGCCGAAAATGGTGACTCTCAAACAAAAAATTTAATTATAATTGTCTGTTTTTATTTTTTTTAAATTTTAAAATGTAAATCTTCTAAATTAGGTTAAAATACACAGGAGACTTATTTTTAATTACAATATGGCTTAAACATTTATAAATCAAGCTAAAAAATGAAGTATTTCGAAATAGCTTCAGATCGACTTTAGGACTGATATTGAGAGCGGTATTGACTTGACAACATAAATTATCTTGACAAGTCGTCAAGTCGAATGGCACTTAGGTGCTTCCGTAGAGACGGCCCGAGTGGAGTTTCATGTAAATGTTTTGTACGGGAAAAATATCGCGTCCGGCCATACGATTCTGCGCTGTATTGTTGTTTTATTTTTCAAATGATTCATGATTATGCTTTAATTGTTTTGTGTTTTATTTGGATAATAGCAACGATTTCTACCGCCACCAAGGAGGTTATGTATTCACCGATGTCTGTCTGGGTGTCTATTCCAGTTTGTTTTTATATCTAGTAAATAAAAAGTGATTGGTAAAAACATAATACCGGTACGGGACGTCGGTAAAGAAGTGCAAAATACAGTCATCATTATTAATTCTTGTGCTTTATTGATCCATGCTATCGGTAGGCCTATTAGCTTAGGATTTCAATGCTTTTCCAACCCATTATTATTGACATTGAATACAGCTCTGATACTCACAGTATAAATTTTTTTAATCACAAATTAGAACTGCATATATGTAGTTTTAAAACAATGTGCATTTACTTCAAATGTATTTACAACACAAGTTTATGTAATTACTGTAGGCCTATATAATCAATTCCCGGTTGAAAAAG